GGGGTCGTCATCAATTTGCGTTCAACTCGTTGCGCTCTAGAAGCGAATCATTTGTATGAAATTTAATCAACCTTCCGATTGGCCAACCGCGACGTATGAATTATGTAAGGCGCCAATAATAAATGGATTAGGGTACATATCTTTCTCCAATAAATTTGCGAGGCGCAACTAATAGGAAAATCATTGGGCCCGAAACGATCTCAAAACTAACTAATAACTTCACTTTTTCAATTGTTCCGCCCTTATGCGAGTTGGATGATGAAGGACGGAAGAAGAAACATGATACTTTTGCAAAGCACTTTGTTATTATTTTATGATTATTATTTTTATTTTATTTTTCATTTTTTTCCATTTTCTTTGAATTTTTTGTTGGTTTTGTATACAATAAAGTGTACAGTAGTAATAAAAAATTGCCTATCATACAATAAATAATGAGATTACATTATAAAACGTGTACGTGTGTTTGTGTATGGGGGAGTGGATGTGTCCCACCATAGGAGACACTACATGCGTCTCTTGTTAGTAAAAAGCATACCGTATGATAATAACATTCTAAGTTTTCGTTTAGTCTTTACTTCCAATAACAATTTAATCCTGTAATATGTGTTAATCGTTTTTGGTATTTTAATTCATTTACTCCGACACTAGTCTTCTCAATATATCACAGCTAATTGGCATACCCTAAGTACTAACAAGAGGGATACAGAAAAAAAGGTCGAGTCTTAATTAGCGTCGATCTGGGGGGGATAAGATACCATCTGGAATATCGTTAATATATATAAGAGTGCCAATTGTTTCTTATTATCATCAATTGTTTAGGGTTCCGTTGGTGTTTTCATTTATTCTTTAGAGCCAAAATTGAATGAAGTGAATTTACATAATTTGTGTGCGCTTCTTGAGCCTCATCCTCCTCCTAACCCTCAATCCATCTCGAACAAGTTTGTTCTTCTTTTTGTAAATCTTAGTCAGTCTTGTTCAAAAACTTCTCGTTCGTTTGATTCTCTAAGCTCTCCTTCTCGTGGTACAGCTTGAGCAGATCCATGGCATCCTGCGCCTGCCTCTTCTCGATCAAGTATCGTCCGGAAGCCTCCTTCAGCTGCTCCAAGAACACTTTGTCCGGGAAAGTGATGTCGGCAAGCGAGTCCGGATCCATGTCGCTCAGCAGCTCAAGCTCAGGCCCTCCCAGTAGAGAGACGTGGCACAGATTGTGCTTAAGCTTGTCCACCAATCCTACAAGCTCCTGACCGCCCTTTCCATCGTCCAATTCGTCGAAGGAGAGTCGACACGGCGGAGCCGGCGGCAGCCACTTCTCGTCCATCTTGAGGATCATCAGACTCGTGTGCGGCTCCAGCGTGGCGAAATACTCATCATCATCGATCTCCGTTCCATCCGCCTCCAATACCTAAACCAAAAAAAAATCTATAATTCAAGTAAAATCAAAAAGATTTTATCTCAAGTGACTTTGCTCTATATTGATTTTAAAAGTGTGCATGTAGTTTTTATTTTTTGTCCACGTAGACAGTCCTTATTGTGCTCGCCTTTGATGCGGTCTAAAACCATGTGTACATGATTCTTTTCTCTATTGCAATTTTAATACGACGAGCGGAAGTTGGAAGGAAATAACAATCACGTCACAAAGGAACATCACATTCGTTTTAACGTCCAATGGTATATCAAATATCCAGCAAAAATAAATATACTTTTTTTTTATATATAGCTGCAAACCTCGCATTTATTCTAATTGAACAAAATATAAATTCATTCTTCAAAATGAGTACACAATTTTTGTTTCCTTTATACAGTTTTTTTTGTGCGATTTTGCGGTTTCTTTTTTTGTATATTTAGTTCCTTGATTAGTTCGGTTTCAAACATATTGACAATACAATTATAACTCGTGAATTGAATTTTTCTTTATTAACTTTATGGTCAAAGTATTAGAATATTTTCTCAAGTTCCCATGAATTTTTAATTAAATTAAAAGTATGCAATGTTCCTCGTTCACTTTTCACAACTTTTTCTGGCCGGCAAGCTAGATTTAGTTCAGCGAAGAATTATAAGACCCTTTTTTATAAAGCTATTCAATTTCTTTGAAATGAAAAAAAAAAAGAAGAGCACAAAACTTACGTAATTCGAGTTGCTTCCTCTGTGCATTGTGAGAATATGTGAAATATGAAGACTTGTTACTTTCATGTCATTTACACTGAAATATAATTTATTTTTTTCTCGAGTTGATTAAGTGAATGGGTCATCTATTCAAGCACAGTAATTTCGCAACTTCGGACGTAAGTCAAAATGCTCGTGCGTAGAATTAAATTAAAATTATTATAATACTAATATATTTATAGTCAGTATTCTGGGGTATAGTTAACATATATGCTTAAATTTTCCTTTCGTCGAAAGTACAAATTGTAGAGAAGTTACTTTAGAATTAACTACACTTAATTATCACTATTGTTTCGATAATTTAAAATTCATTTCTAATTTAGAATTTATACTTTATTATATATTTTAATTGTTCTTTTTTACGACAATTGGATGATTTGCAACTATGTTTGTAAGTTATAAATTTAGGTAAATCTAATAAAACAAAATCTTAAAACATTCCCAAATAAGATCTTTTAGTTTATGTGTTGCAGATAAAGTAAAAAAGATTGATATATCGTCAGGGATTGTTAAATGTATCAGAAGTTGAATATTTGAATCATTGCCAATTTCATAACAATCATACGTCGCAATTTCAACCCCCATTTAACATAAAAGCATATTTACCACTAATATGGAAAGTAAATACCCACATTAAACTTTTTTGACTTGAAGTAAAACGGTATTATCAATAATTTTGATGAAAAAGCTGTTTTGTTGTTAGACAATGCTCTTGGACATACTGATTTTAACACGCTGAATACATCCATTCCTCTCAAAGATGTATTTTTAATAGCAAATACAACTATCCTGATTCCACCAATGGATCAAGGAGTAATAGCATCATTTAAAGCTTATTATCTGAGTAAAACCATTAAACAATTCAAGTAAAGGATAAGGAGGAAATGGTAGATAAGATTTTTTTTTGGACAAACTACACCATTCAAAAGCAATTGAAAACATTGATAGTTCTTGAGAAGTAACTAAAAAATGTTTAAATGAAGTTTGATGCAAAATATGGCGACAATTTGTAGTAGAAGAAGAAAATAAAATTCAAGAAATTAGAAAGCTCAATCAATAGGTTTGGAAACTGCAAGTAAAAAGTGAATGCAGAAGATGACAATTTTTCAGTAAAAAATTGTTAGCAAGACGAAAGAATTTAAAGAAGTTCCTGCAGACAAATTGTTAACAACCTAATATTTAAAAGGGTGCGTAAATGACATTGAAATATTTTTGTTTAGTTAAAATCAATAATGATTTTTAGGAAGTACCAACCTTGGCCTGATGCCTGTCAAAATTTCATGGCAATCTGACGTTTAGTTCACAAGTTACAGTGGTTATAGTGACGCTACTATTGTAATTTTCAAAACAATGGAAAATCTTAATTTCGTGTGTTGAGAAAACATTGCTTATTGATGGGGAAAATAGCGTTCAAGCAAAGCAATGGATTGATAAGTCGTACAGACACAAATGATGATGAACACTCTGATTGCCCAAATTTCGCAATTGTTGTCACAAAATGATTTTGCCCGATCGCAAATTGAAAAAGCAGCCAAAAACGAAAATGTCAGCTGATAAGGGTTTTGCCTCCATATTTTGGGAACCGCACGGATTTTTATTCATTGATTACCTTGTGAAAGGAAAAACGTTATGGGTCCGTGTGAAGAAAGATATTGCGAAAAAACGACCAAATGAAGAAGAAAAAAGTGCTCTTTTACCAAGACACCTTGTGACACCGTGTCACAAAACGATGGCAAAAATGCACGAATTGCACTTTGAATCGCTTCCCCACCCACCGTATTCTCCAGATGCCATGGTTTTCAGCGACTACTACCAGTTTACAGACCTAAAAAGAACTCTCAAGGGAAAGAGATTTGGCTCCTATGAAGAAGAGATTATCGAAACTGATGCGTAGAATATTTCTCAAAAGTTGTTGTTTTATTGGTCATCCTACGAACTTATTGAAGTGAGGTGAGGTGTTATTAAGCGATTAGTGTTAAATACAATAAATCCGTATGGGCAATTGTGCATTTTGGTCATAGTATTTTTATCTTAGCAAATGAAGATTCATTACACGAAGTAATTTCATGAAACGGATACTCATTAATCGAGGTTTGAAACGAAGGAACAAAAATATCCACAATGTTTAATGTATAACAAAAATAAACAAACTATTAGATTAAAGCAATAAAGAGAATAATCGAGGTTTTTTTTTTAGAATAATCTAATTACGCCGAGAAAATAAATTGTGAATGTTGACTGAACAAAAAAGCTTCGAGACAAGGATTCTTGAATTGTGAAAACAGTTTAATTGATTCTTGGAATCGACTGTCGCAGAATGCTTTAGTTACTAGAATCCTTACATCGAGCATTACATTGTTATTTTATACGAAATGTCATTAAATTAATAAGAATTTAAATAAAAAACTTTATGAATAACTCTTAAAGTGGTTTCACAGTCGATAATTTAAATAAAAATTTAACAGTAAAATACAAGATCATTTTAAACAAATACTTTTTGGACAGGAAGTCTCTAAAATTATTGAGAATATCTAAAACTTCTATAAATAACATTATAAAATAAACTCTGCATTTCAAGTTCAAATAAATCCAATTCATATTTTGTTTTATAATATTGTAAATGTCGTAACGTGACAATAATTTGGTTTGATAATTTGAACACGTGCAATTCTCAATAAAGGTCAATCACGCTGTTAATTTAACGCATTCTGCCACGCAAAATTTCCAATAACGCAATTTTGATTAAATTGCAAATCCAAATCGATATATGTATAATATTCGTTAATATACATATTAAATTCACTGAAACCTCAATAAACTAAATTGTCACTTGAATTATTGAATACTATTGAAATATGTTATTGATATTCTCATTTATAATTACAAAACGTATGTTTTTAACTATTCAATTTAGTTATTTTTTCTGATGTTTAAAGAGATAAATTATGGATATGTTAGTTTATTTTCATTGAATGAGAATGTTCACTTAACTTTTTATCAAGCACATTGTCATTTGTACTCGAAACTTTGTAAAAGAAAATAACTAAATCATGAAATTAAAAACTAATTAAAAAGTGAGTTTAATTATCCAACAAATTTAAGCTCTAAATACAAACAATTAATAACGTCTGCAAAGTTTCAGTTTGTCGACATAATACCGCAACAACTCCGCCAATAGTTGTTTGGTATCGAATTGTTAATCGCAATAAAGGAGCTTTCTAATTGTTTCAAAATGTATATAGCGTTTAACGCTTAATCAAAATGATGAATAAAATAATATACATATAAAATGTGTACTAATAATATAAAGAATAGTGTAAACATGTGACCTATATAACTGGAGAATTAAAAAAATGAATATTGGGTTTCTAAAAATGTATTCGCTGATAAAAGTTACCACATTTGCGACAGGAAAGAATAACGTTATCTTGCAATATATATACATAAGTATTTGGTAAAAATGCGAGAGGATTTACATAGATCTTGATTTCCTCGCTGCAAGTGAAACCTATATTTTATACATTAAAATTCTGACTTGTATGTTATTTATTATTGAAGAATTCTCTTTAGTTTAACAAATATGTTTCAATATATTTTTTTTAATTTGATATAATGTAGACTTAAGTAAACATTCACAATTAAAAATGTATTTTCATCATATTTTTATATATAAATAATTGAATAAAAATATATTTTAGTATGATAATAGGAATATATTTAAAAAATATAAAAATTTAAAATTGTAATGTAATACATTTTTTGTTGTCAAAACGAAAATTGCTATGGTGACATTATATTTATCAAGTATGACCCACTTTGAAATCTATTTTATAGTAGATCATAGTTGCTGAAACTTTTTAATAGTAAGTGCTATCATACAGAAAGTGTGAAACCGAGTTATACTTCAAATACTCATGAACTATTTTTTTTTCTTTAATTAATTAGTAGGAGAAGTTTTTAAGTTTATTTTAGTTTAGGGTAAGTATTTGAAAATACATGTGGTTCCACTGTGGAATAAAAATCTTGGAAATAATCACTCTTTTATGTGGTCCCATGGTGCCACCACTGGCACACAAAGGGTTAAAGTCTTCGATTAGAACGGTTTCAAACAGTCCTTTATACTAAATAAGTAAATATATAAATTTTAATATCTATTAATTATAGACTTAAAACAACCAATGAATTGTAATGATGCAATACTTTTGCAAAGTGAAGATTAGTGATCGGATGGAAATAAATTCTAAAAAATTAGAACACAATATTAATTTTTATGTGGTTTATTTTTGTTTGTATTTTGTTCCTCGATTAGTCCGATCTTTAACAGTACGGGATATTGGCAGAACTGATTACCCGTTCTATGCCAAGTACTGCTGTACATATAAAAGTGATAATCTTCCGAACTTGTTGATCTTTAGCTGAACATCAGTTTCAATCTTATTTCACTTCACATTATTGGAGCTTTAAGATAAGTTTTCCAAAGTGAAGATGTCTATCTCTCTAGAGAACGACGAATTTGATGAAAATAAGCTCTACTTTTGTTAACTAGATTTTTTTTTTGTAATTTTGCTTTAATTCTATTCATCCATTGCAAATTTTATATTTATAAAATATTTAATAAGTCCATTTAAATTATATATGTGAAATATATTTTTTTTAGACCAGCGATTCACAACAACCGATTCACGACTCTAATCTAGCAGGTCAGCGAAAAATTAAAAAATATAGAGTTAATATTTTTTTATGCTATTGTTATTATCATTATATGAATATGTTTTAAATGGTAGATTCGAGTAAAAACGTTGCATGTTTTTTGTTCCACATGTTTTTCTACTTATATCCATTCTTCTGTGGGTTCTCTAAATTTTTTAAGTACAAAAAGTTACGGATCACTGATCAAACAGTTTGAGAAACACTTG